CCCACCCTCTTCCTCCCTCCTACCCTCTTCATCCCCTCCCTCTCTCCCTCCCTCTTTTCCTCCCTCCCACCCTCTTCCTCCCTCCCACCCTCCCTCTCTCCCTCCCTCTCTCCCTCCCTCTTTTCCCTCCCTCTTTTCCTCTCTCCCACCCTCTTCCTCCCTCCAAACCTCTTCCTCCCCTCCCTCCTTCCCTCCCTCCCTCCCACCCTCTTCCTCCCTCCCTCCCCCTCTCTCCCTCCCTCCCACCCTCTTCCTCCCTCCCTCCCTCCCTCCCTCCCTCCCTCCCTCTCTCCCTCCCTCCCACCCTCTTCCTCCCTCCCTCCCTCCCTCCCTCCCTCCCTCCCTCTCCTTACTCTCCCCTCCTCCTCTGTATCTCTCTACATGTACATGTATCAAGATAGGCCTTCAAGGAAAAGATAGCGATTTACAAATAATCTATCCATGTACACTGTACAATACATGAAAGCTCCGAAAGAGCTCTAGTCATAAATCTGAAAACGATATGGGCATGTACAATGTACTGTACACGTACATGTACACACATATTAATCAAAACATATTCTTTCACATGATCGGTAATTTAAGAGCTTCTGTTTCATTTTTTCAAGGGGCATTTCCAAAACTGGTCTACCGATATACCTTTAAAGGGATAGTTGAGTTCTGTTTTCAGACCGCAAATTCCTTCAAAGTGCATGGTTACTGCTCTTATTCTTATCTATGACATTTATAGTGCCCTTTTAGAACCTAAAATTGCTATGTACATATTGTACATGTAGGTAATTTTAGACCCCAAAATGAGTGAAATTAAGCCAATATGACCATACCAATTCAGCTCCACTTAAAAACACGGTGACCATTAATCAATTATTTAATTAAAAATAACAATACATGAGCCGGCTAATTGTGGGTAATATACACTGTAAGCAACACGAAAATGCCATCAAAAAAGCCAACAACGGCATTGACTGAAATTCGACATAAAAGGCGTTATTTCGTGTTTTTTTCCAACGGTTTTCAACGTTTTTTTCAAATTTTTCAAAATATCTAATAATTGTGGTGGTACACAAATATTAGAAATCGTTCTATTTCAGCCGTCTCTGAACCGATCTTGATCAAACAAAGATGATTTTGTCATTTAAATATTATGTTCTTTCAAATTTGACACTCAGTTTTTCATTATCTCACAAAAAAATTATTTTGTGTAGCGCCCTCTGCAACAGAACTCAACTATCCCTTTAAGTTGTTTGGACACCTGTACCTTGATCTTCAGCAATTTTCAGATACTTCCTTTTCCTGTCTAAATGACCCACTTATATATCCACCCTGTACTACATTAGTGCAAGGTTAATTTTGCAACAAACTTGGAGACAGTTTCTATTAGTGCCAGATCTCATGTCGTCATGATGAATTTGATTAGAAGTAGCCGTGGAAGCATCAAAGAGGAACTCAAATACAACATGGTAGATGAAGGAAGTGAAAAATTGTAGCTTGTTATTGTAAATGACAAAAAGAGAGGCCTTTTTGGCATGAGATACAAATTCCTCTTTCATATCCTTTGTCAATGTGACAAACAACCTTCAGCAGGGTTTGAAGTCTGTGAGAAAAAAAATTATCCAAAGAGGTGGAATATTGCGAGAAAGGAAGTTCTAATTTAAATTTGGAATATTATGGGATATAACAAGAGAAGAGACGAAAAAGGATGAAGAATATCATTAAAGAAAAGAAAAGAAATAGAAAGACAGAAAGAGAGAATTACTCTCTAAAAAAATTGAGTGATCACGGTTGCACTCCTCTGGAGAGTGAAAATGTAATGAAAGTAGAGTGAACATTCACTCTTTTCTTCTTTAATAGAGAGCACTCTAAAATCAATCGATTTTCACTCCTAAACAAGTGATCATGGACGTCACTCCCAAGAAAGTGAAAATAGAGTGAAAATTCACTCTTTTTTTGAAAGAGAGTACATGTACTGTACAAAGGAAAAGGGCAAACAAATCACACAGACATACATAAAAACAGAATAATACAAGACAAGCAAATAAACAAACAATGATGTTTTGTCATGACATTTCGCTTTTGATTAGACAGGGTTCATACAGTGCACATACATGTACTGTGCACTGTACATTGTACATGGAGCAGGAATATAAATCAGGAATATGTGGACAATTATTAGTTGCTGCTTTTTTCCAGTCAAAAAAAAGTTGTCAGCAAATTTGATAAAAAGCACTCCAGCCAGGGAAACATCAGAGAATTTCAAAGGCTTAAAAATAAAGTTGTCAGTCTCAATAGTTTGTGTCATGTTAAAGGTTTGAAGATCATGGAAAAAGCAGGGAATTAGATTTAAATCAGGGGGGGGGGGGAATCAGGAAATTTCACCCCCTGTAAGAGCAACCTAAGAAGAAGAAGAAGAAGAAGAAGAAGAAGAAGAAGGAGGAGGAGGAGGAGGAGGAGGAGGAGGAGGAGGAGGAGGAGGAGGAGGAGGAGGAGGAGGAGGAGGAGGAGGAGGAGGAGGAGGAGGAGGAGGAGGAGGAGGAGGAGGAGGAGGAGGAGAAGAAGAAGAAGAAGAAGAAGAAGAAGAAGAAGAAGAAGAAGAAGAAGAAGAAGAAGAAGAAGAAGAAGAAAGAAAAAGGAGGGGGAGGAGAAGAAGACAGAATAAAAAGAAAAAGAAAATGAAGAAGAAGAAGAAGATGATGATGAAAACAAGATATATAAAGCAGGAAAGGAGAAGAAGATAAATGTGGAGAACAAGAAAGAAGAAAAAGATGTAAAAAGAAAAGAAGAAGCCAAAGAAAAAGGAGGAGGTCCTTGAAGAAGAAGAGAGAAGTACATGTATGCATTCAATCCGAAAGCATCCCTACTTTAATACCAACTAACATACATGTTGAGTAGTTGACTGGTGATTAGTCAGATAATGATGCAGTGAATTTGATGAGGCCAGGTATTCCTTCTGTTATCTCTCACACCAGGAAGTAAGTCAATAACCATTGGGCCCTATCATTGGAGGTAAACAAAACTATGTGTATTCAGCTAGTCTACACCACAGACACAGCTAAACATTAGGAACAGTTACCATGCACTTCCCACTTAAAAGGTATAGAACAATTTTGGAAACGCCCCCCTCTCAAAAAAATGAAATGGAAGTTGTTATTAATATTACCAATTATGTGAAAGAATATGTTTTGACTAATACATGTACATGATGATACAAATTTTGCCGGGAAACCGCCTACTAATTGATATATTTGGTAATTATTATATCTATCCGGACCGGATAGATATGGCGCACATGTCGCGTAGTGCCATATACATCTTTCTTTGTACAGTGCTTGTAACTTTACCAAGACTGGGCCAAATTTCTTATCATTTTGATGATTTCAGAACCTTGCGGTAGACTCCAATACTTTGATAGATGATCAACCTTTTCTGATGTTTACTTTCACAATACAATCGCATGACCAGAACTGGTCTTTACCTTAAAACAAGATACAGACAATAATTCAAAATACAGTATGGATTACTGAAAGAAACAATATAAAAACAAATGCTTGGGAAGAATGGCCCTGAAAGAGACAGAGAGAAGACAAAAATACCAACTACATGTACGTGTACTGTACATGTAAATGTACAGTGTAGATACTTGTACAGAGTCATATTAAATAGAAACTAAAAATTCATGAAGAAGAAGAAAGATGTATGACTAGTATCCAATCCATACATGTACATGTATACAGTGTATTGTCACAAATAATATCATTTAGAGTTAATTCAAACCTGCAACTGTCTTCAATAGGACAGAGAACTATCCACCACACTAGCGAGTGAGATGACACACACGTGTATCCAACGACAACGTGCCTAACAAGTGTTAACCCTTCATGACTCACGTGGCAAAAGTAGCAGGTGTGTGCGTCATCAGAAAGGCGGCCTATATTTTAACCTGGATACAATTATTACTGCACATGATTTTAAAGAATGAAATTACTGTATATTAAAAGGTAAATGAGTGTATGAATGATAATGAACAAATGATTGAATGAAAATCAATGAATGGATTATTAAATGATTGAATGAATGAAGGATTGATTGAATGATTGAATGGATGAATGAATGATTGAATGAATCAAGGAATGATTGAATACATAACAAATAAATGAATGAATGATTGAATAAATAATGAATAAATGAATAATTGAATAAATGAATAAATGAAAGAAGGAATGAAGGAGTGAGTGAATAAATAATGAATAAATGAATGAAGGAATGATTGAATGAATGAAGGAATGATTGAATAACTAATGAATGAATGAATGAATGAATGAATAAATTATAAATAAATGAATGAATAATGAATAAATGAATGAATGAATGAATGAACAAATGAAGGAATGAATGAACAAATGAAGGAATGAATGAACAAATGAAGGAATGAACGAACGAATGATCAAATGAATGCGTACAATTTCGTTCAAGCTTCCGCAAATCTGCTTTCTTTCAGAGTAGGGCAATTCCACGGTAACGGAAGGACACTCAGACAAGATTTTTGAACTTCAGGTTCATACTAAAAGAAATGTTTTATAGTATGTATTAAACTATGGGGAACAAAATGTGTTTCAGTCAAGTGGGAAGCTTTATCACCTTCACAAAGTTTGGATAAACACTAATTAACTGGAAAAACCATGTCCATTTTTATGTCCTTCCGTTACCGAGATAATTAATATGCACATTCTTAAACTACTTAACTATAATGACAATTTTTTGTGTGAAAATTAAAGGCACTTATATAGGTATTATATCTGTACTGTTTCACATCTTATACTAATAAAACAGTTCTTTTAGTATGAACCTGAAGTTCAAAAATCTTGTCTGAGTGTCCTTCCGTTACCGTGGAATTGCCCAGTACATTATTTTGCTAGTATTTGTATAACACATGTATTTTTTTCTCCATTTAGTATGTACAGTGTGATCATGTAGATTGACATCTGTGTGTTCTTTTTTCACAGATGGACTTGAACCGAGACGGTTTTTTGACGGCCAACGAGCTCCAGGAGATTCTTGAGCAGTGCAACGAGAAGGTCCCAGGGTTTAAGATTCGACAATACATTGCTGAATACGATACCGACAAGAATGGCGCCCTCACGTACGACGAGTTTATAAAGGTAGGTAAACTGTACGATTTTCATTTCCTTTAAACTTTAAGATTTTATAATTTTAAAGCCCCACTGTCCTACTTGTAGCTACTTGCTTCCTCTATATAGAAAACAATGACTACATGTAGAATGTATGTAATCGGTGGCCATTGGTCCCCCATGATCCTCTTTTTCTTATGTTAGTTGAGAGCTGAGTTGATGAGATAACCACCTGTCAGTGACTTTGCAGGGTGGTCTAATCCCCCTTGGCCAAACTAGTACAGACGGGCTTTAAACTTTACAGACCTTAAAGGTTATTTTTGGTAATGGAAGATTGCAAAAAAAAACAGTCAAGGGCATTTCATGATATAAAAGAGATTAAATCTTTCTTTAAAGGGACTTGGTAACATTGTTCAGATAAGAGAAAATGGTGCTAAGATAGTGACTTGAATGCTAGATGTACAATTAGAGATTATCTGAAAGTTTGAGTGAAAACAGACCATTATTAATGATAACAATTTGGAAAAAAACTCATCAGATTGATTCCTTAATTCCCCCAACTATAAAATATTACAAATTGATTACATTTAAAGGTGAATGTACATGTACAAGTAAATCATCACAAAGCAATGAATTGGCTCTATATACATGTACCATTCCAGACTGTAAGTGTTGAAAGATCTTTAAAAGCCTGTCTTATTCATATTCATATTTTTATTGTTCTTATTCTTCTTATTCTTTAAAGATAAAGGTGAGTTCTGGTAAAAAAAAAAAAATTCTCACAGAATCAAACAAAACCTACACTGAATGTTCAAGATTACAAATAAATGTCATTTGCCAAACAATTTTGGTAGAAAATAGTTACTGGCTGAGTAATGAGCATAGATAGATTAGGAAATCAAGGTTGGTAGCCCCGACACCATTTGTGTAGTCCCATATACATCTTTCTGTGTACAGTGCTTGTTACTTTACCAAGACTGGGCCAAATTTGTTATGATTTTGATGACTCCAGAACTTTGCAGTACACACCAATACTTACATGTACATGTTACTTGGTCAACCTTTTCTGATCAATTCCACACGTTTTCTTTCACAATGCAATCGTATGACCAGAACTCACCTTTATCTTTAATTCTTATTCGTCTTTATATCATTATTATTATCATTATTACCAGTTATACCATGACATCAAGAAGGGCAAGGCTTCGGCCGGCTTCCTGACCGCGGTCAAGAGCCGAGTTGGAATCCAATCAGAAAAAGGAACGTCTGATGTAAGCGCAACGGGAACAACTCACTCCTACTCAGTAGAGGAGACTGCTGCTTTCACAGGTACATTTAATATACATGTACATGTACATGTATGGGTTGTGTCCATACCATTTTTGTTTTCTTCAAATAAAGTCTTTATTCTATTTTGTTGAAGTATAAAACGGTATTCGTTGAAAATTTTTACAAAATTTCACTCCTGCAATATCAGTTGTGTTCATACCCTTTCCCTTGAAATAAAGTCTCAATTATATTTTCTTAAAGTATAAACAGTATTTATAAGCAAATTTACACAAGTTTGCAGGTACAATATACAGTAGGTTACCGGTATGTTCATACAGTACATGTACTTTCTCCTTTTTTCTTCAAATGAAGTCTTAATTAATTCAATTTTGTCAAAGCATTTACAAACCAGTATTTATTAGCAAATGTACAAAATCGGTTTTGCTCACCCCTTTTGAAAATATTTTTCAGATCAGGTCTTCATTCAAGTTTTCTCCAAACATTTATAAATAAAAAAAGTATGAGCTAATGTAATTCTAATATTTATGACTTACATTTAAGTACAATGTATGCAATCATTTAATTGGCTTTTTCTCCAATGAATGTGTATTTTTGAAAGTTTCTATCTTTATTGCCCTTTGCATAAAGCTTTCATCAATGACGATAGTAAATTTCAAAATGATCCCATCCTTGGGCCGAGACTACCCATCCAAGGTGAGGATGGACTGTTTAATGCTGTTGCTGATGGCATCTTACTCTGGTAAGTTATACCCTTTCCTCATCCCCCCTCAGGCCCTAGTCATTGCAATACCCCTTCTGTTCTCCATCCCCTCCCCCTTCAAGTTCCCCTTGCCGTCCACCTTCCCCTTCTCTCCACCTTCCCCTCCCCTCCACCTTCCTTTCCCCTTCTTTCCCCCTTCCCCTCCCCTCCACCTTCCCCTCCCCTCCACCTCCCCTTCCCCTTAATTTTCCCTTCCCCTCCACCTTCCCTTCCCCTTCTCTCCACCTTCCCCTCCCTCCACCTTCCTTTCCCCTTCTCTCCCCCTTCCCCTCCCCTCCACCTTCCCCTCCCCTCCACCTTCCCTTCCCCTTCTCTCCACCTTCCCCTCCCCTCCACCTTCCCATGGCCCTCCCTTCCGTACCCCTCCCCTCCACACCTTCCCCTCCACACCTTCCCCTCCCCTCCTTCCCCTCCCCCTCCCCTCCTTCCCCTCCCCTCCACCTTCCCCTGGCCCTTCCCCCTTCCCCTGGCCCTTCCCCTTGCCCATCCCCACCCCTCCATCTCCCATTTCCCTCCACCTTCCCCTCCCCTCCACCTTCCCTTCCCCTTCTCTCCACCTTCCCCTCCCTCCACCTTCCCTTCCCCTTCTCTCCACCTTCCCCTCCCCTCCACCTTCCCTTCCCCTTCTCTCCACCTTCCCCTCCCCTCCACCTTCCCCTCCACCTTCCCTTCCCCTTCTCTCCACCTTCCCCTCCCTCCACCTTCCCTTCCCCTTCTCTCCACCTTCCCCTCCCCTCCACCTTCCCCTCCACCTTCCCTTCCCCTTCTCTCCACCTTCCCCTCCCCTCCACCTTCCCCTCCACCTTCCCTTCCCCTTCTCTCCACCTTCCCCTCCCCTCCACCTTCCCATGGCCCTTCCCCTCCACCTCCCCTTCCCCTTAATTTTCCCTTCCCCTCCACCTTCCCTTCCCCTTCTCTCCACCTTCCCCTTCCCCTCCACCTTCCCTTCCCCTTCTCTCCACCTTCCCCTCCCCTCCACCTTCCCTTCCCCTTCTCTCCCCCTTCCCCTCCCCTCCACCTTCCCATGGCCCTTCCCCTCTACCTTCCCTTCCCCTTCTCTCCACCTTCCCCTCCCCTCCACCTTCCCATGGCCCTTCCCACCTCCATGGTCTCTTCCTTCCCGTGCCACTCCCTGGTGGCAGCGGTGGGATCATAAAACTCTTTTTGTCAATGTACCAGAAAACTTAGAGGTGTCGTGGACGAGTGGATATGTCACCCGACTGTGGATCGCAATGTCCGCGGTTCAAGTCCCACCGCGGCACTAATGTCTTTTGGCAAGACATTGATCTACATTTGCCACTCTCCACCCAGGTGTTAAATGGGTACCCGGTAGGATGCGAAAGCTAATGCGCTTTAATAGATTAGCAAGTGTGCACTTGTAAAAATGACGCCCGGCTGGAATGCTCCCCAGGGAGTGGAGAATGTGCATACATTGTGTGCGGGTAAGCCTGAATCCAACAACTGGGATAATAATGATAATAATTTTCTGGTGGCAGCTTTTACCGTTTGGTTAGGAGGGTCTCACGTTGCGGGTATTGAATCACAACAAATCTTTTGATTTCATTTCTTTTTCCTGCACAATATCTAATAAGTTATAAAGTCTGCAGGCAGTTGATTATTAAATGGTATATCTCTTGTCACCTTTTATGAAAATTCTCTTCTTTGTTTTTGCAGCAAATGATCAACAAGTCATATCTGAATACAATTGAAGCCCCACTGCACTACTTATAGCTACTTGCGCCCTCTATATAGCAAACAATGCCTAATTGGTGGTCATTGGTCCCCCATGGTCCCCTTTTTCTAATGTTAATTGAGAGCTGATTTGATTATATAACCACCTGTCGGTGACCTTGCAGGGAGGTCTTATCCCTCCTGGCCAAACTAGTGTGGAGGGGGCTTTAAAGAAAGTGCTTTCAAACTCTCTTTTTTTAAAACAGCAAAATGGTCAACAAGTCAAGTCCAAACACAATTGACGAGAGGGCCATCTCTACCGGGAAGCTCAACAAATTCACCCAGCTAGAGAACCTCACCCTGGCCCTTAACTCTGCCAGGTCCATCGGCTGCAGCGTTGTCAACATTGACCCCTTGGACCTGCAACAGGGGACCAAGCATCTGGTACTAGGTCTGGTGTGGCAGATCATTCGGGTAGGTCTCAAGGAACTCTTCCACTCTTTATATCTACAGTGCACATGAAGTGTACGTAGAAGTGTCGTAGTTGAGTGATTTAAGCACTTCACTTGAAATTCAAAGGACGTGGTTCGATCCCCGATACGGCACTAATATCTTCTGGCAAGGCATTAATCTTCATTTGCCACGCTCCACCCAGGTGAGGTAAATGGGTACCTGGCATGAAATACCCGGTAATTCCTTGAAAGGCTGGAGGGCTGTAATGGCAGCTAGGCTAAAGCCGGGCTAATAATTAATGCCCCACTGAATAGAATTTCTAGATAGACGGTGCTACAGAAATTCCTATTATTTCCTATTCATTATTATTAATTACACGCATATATCACAACACCTTCTCCCAGCTTGGAGGTTGATTGCAACATTTTTCCTTAAAGATAAACTTGAGTTCTGGTAAAAAAATAAAATGAATTCTCACAGAATCTAACGAAACTTACACTGAATGTTCAAGATTACAAATAAATGTCATGTGCCAAACAATTTTGGAAGAAAATGTATACTGGCTGAGTAATGAGCATAGAAAGATAAGAAAATCAGGGTAGTACTAGCCCCGACACCATGTGTGTTGTCCCATATATTTATGATGATTTTGAAGACTCTAGAACCTTGCATTACACACCATCACTTACATGCTATATGATCAACTTTTCTGATCCATTCCACACCTTTTCTTTCATAATGCAATCGCATTACCAGTACTCAAGTTTATCTTTAACTTTATAAAAAACTATAGAACCTAGGAACAACCGTAAATGATTCTATAGCAGTCGACAAATCTATTTCATCTATGAGAGACCTTCACCCCAGAACAGCACCAACTTGTTTATGCAATTTGCTTTCTGAGAAATTGTACATTAGTCTTGCTTTATGCCTCTCTCATACACTTTGGCGGGGAATCTTGTAGATTATTGGGCAAGAATATAATAATTCTCTCAGAATAAGTAAAGTTATTTCTTGGGGTGAGATTTCCTTTAAGAGACCTGGGGAGTGTTTCACAAAGATCCCAAGTCGAACTTAACTCTAAGTTGGACTTAAATATTATGGAGAGCTATTCGCAGCGTTATAATCAAATATATTCAAAAGCAAAAATTCAAGTATTTTAGACTTTTTATAAATTCCACATCAAGAACATGAAATCGAACTTAACTCTAAGTTGGACTTAAATATTATGGAGAGCTATTCGCAGCCTTATAATCAAATATATTCAAAAGCAAAAATTCAAGTATTTTAGACTTTTTATAAATTCCACATCAAGAACATGAAATCTCCCATGATAGTAGAAAATATGAATGATTTGAATCAACATTTAATGCCTTTAAAATAACTTTTACAAACAAATTTGAAGATGCTAACGGCTTTCCATAAATTCTAAGTCCAACTTGGAGATAAGTTGGACTTGGGATCTTTGTGAAACGCCCCCAGATGTCTTCTAATGTGGCCGACTGAAAGTATTTTAACCATTCCTATTAGGATAATGTGGTTTTATATGCCTTCATGGTTACTGTAATTGGTAGTAATGCTCCCAAGCAAGTGAAGATGGTGCACACATAGTTTGTGTGCAAAACTCAAATGGCAAGAGAAATAATGACTGATGCCAGAACACTACAGGTTTTAAATTACTATTGTTTTTCTAAGTGTGTAGGCAGTTTGTACGTCAGTGTATCTGTTATACTGTATCGAAAGCCAGATCAAATATTTACCTTGTCTATTTTCGAGAGTACAATAACACGGAACCTCAAGATAAAAAAGACTGAGCAAATTATTTATTGCTTTCAATACAGTTTGAATGTGTGAGATATTAAAGTGATAACTCACTCGAAAATATCAGGAACACGTTTTAAAGGTAATACAAAGTTTTGGTATGGGGTCATGAATTTGGTTCAAATGAACATATTGGAAGCATATGCGATCCTACAATATTCAGTGATTGTTGTCGCGGTCGAAACAAGGCTTTTCTAACTTGAGTTCTGGTAAAAAAAGAAAGAAAATGAATTCTCACAGAATCTAACGAAACTTACGCTGAATGTTCAAGATTACAAATCAATGTCATGTGCCAAACAATTTTGGAAGAAAATGTATACTGGCTGAGTAATGAGCATAAAAAGATAAGAAAATCAGGGTAGTACTAGCCCCGACACCATATGTGTTGTCCCATATACATCTTTATGTGTAAGTGATTGTCACTTTACCAAGACTCTGCCAAATTTATGATGATTTTGATGACTCCAGAACCTTGCATTACACACCATTACTTACATGCTATATGATCAACTTTTCTGATCCATTCCTCACCTTTTCTTTCACAATGCAATCGCATCACCAGTACTCAAGTTTATCTTTAACAACCATTTGAACATGTTTTAGATGCTTCCCTAATAGGAAGCTGACTATTGATTTATAAATGCATACACATGTACTGGAAGCCCTTGCGATTACTACTATAATCTAATGATATTTTCCTTTTTATATAATCATATGGAGTAACTAATTGTTTTCAAACCACATACAATCTCATTAATTAATTGCTCTAGGGGGTTTAATGAGGGAATAAATTATTTACGGAAGATGTAACACGGTTTTCAATTGCTTTTTTCTATTAGAATACGAGAGATGATTCAGATTACTGTTAACTTTCTTAAAGACCCACCCATATTCATCAATCATCAATAGAAAGAAACATATTGTTTGTGGCTAAATATAGTTTTCTGCTTCTTCTCTGGAAATTATTTTCATTAAGCTATGGGAGATCAACCTAGGTCCATGGTGTTAAGAAAGAGTGGCAACTGATTTCTAATTCTTTATCTTGGAAAGTTGTCAGGCTCTCAAAGTGTCAGGCTCTCAAAGTGCCACTTAGCTACATGTATTTGGTCATAATTAAAATCTACCCCTAAACGCATACATTATGCATGTAATCGTATACATGTAGGTACGTGTATATTTTGTTACTGTAAACTCTGTAGCTTTATAAAACCTTAATTCAATATATCCCTCAAGCCAAATCTATTCTATTGTTATGCAATCTTTAAGTGATTTGATAAACATTATTTCCTGGTTTATTGACACTTATAACCTATCCTCCTTGAGTTTTCTTTTCTCCCTGTAATTCCTGTGTTAAAAAAAGAAACTTTGACTGAAAGTAAAAGGACATGTTTATTTTTATCCTGCATTGCCATTTGAGAATAGTTTTACATTTCCATTTTGTTTCCCCTGAACTTTACAAGCTATGTGTATATAGTTGAATGTACGTATATATGACAATGTATTTCAGTATACTAGTTTGTCCTTTCCTTCCTTGTGTTGAGGTTTATATTTTCTCGCTCCCTCTCTCTTTAATATGAAAGCTATTATATCAAGGAAATATCCAGTTTCAAGGAGTGGCCATTAATATGAATTTAATTATGTTAAGAATCAGTTTACAAGTGTGTGCGTCTTACATATATTTTTAGAATTACTGTTAACTTTTGAAAGTGGAAAATTAAAATGAAATATGTGGTTTATAATTAAAGAAACTGCAACACAAATGGAATTTTCAATTTTCTGATCGATAGAAAAACAAAATAACATCAATTTAAGTATGTTAATGGATGTTCTTTGCTACATGTATATTATTTTAAACAGGCCGAGAGATAGGCTGAAAGTATGGCGCAAAAGAACATCTGCAGTGTCATACCTGTAGCTTTTGTTAAAGGATTCGGGGTAACTTTGTCTCCGATTCTGAAACAAAATTCTGGATTTAGCTCATGCTGCCATGATAATTATAAACCTTTATGTCAGTCAGGAACCCCATGACTTTAAGAAGCAGATCGCCTGTCTGATTATCAAGATAATTATGATTGGAAGTTGAAACCAAATTTTGCGTTTGCCAAACAACCTATTGGGGAAAAAGACTATGGTAAAACCATATCACAGACACTGATAACATGTAGGGCCGTGTATCAGATTAAAGGAAACCAAAACCTTCATACTAAGTTACTTTTATTGTAAAGTTTAAGATATTTGAAAAATATCAGTGAAAATTTGAACAAATTTTGGGCAAGGAATAAGGAAGTAAGAGCTTTTCAAAATTACTAGTCACTAGAGGGCGGTATTCAATTTGATGACATCGTCTGTGGACAACTCTTTTGTTCATCAAATTTCATGTTTTTACTTCTTTCTTGTGATTGAGATAATGTACTCCCCTGAAAGCAAGAAAGAGAATGCAAAATGATATTCTACTTCACATGTAATGAAGTCGGATCAAGAACACAAATAAATACGAAGAAAACAACAAAATTGTGAAATTTTATGTACAAAAGGCATGGAGAGTTGTTCACAGATGATGTCATCAAATTGAATACCGCCCTCTAGTGACTAGTCATTTCAAAAAGCTCTTACTTCCTTATTCCTTGCCCGATTTTGTTCAAATTTTCACTGATTTTATTCAAATCTTTTAAACTTTACAATAAAAGTAACTTAGTATGAAGGTTTTGGTTTCCTTTAACATTGTTAAACGTGTCCTCTAAAGCGATAGATGAGTTCTTGTTCCAGACTATGAATGCCTTCAAAGTGCATGGTTATTGCTCTTTATCTTATTTATGACATTTCTAGTGCTCTTTTAGGACCTTAAAGTGCTATGAAGGTAATCTTAGATCCCCAAAATATTTGAAATTTAGCCAATACGATCATACTAATTCAGCTCCATATTTAAAAAACAATGGGGACAGTTAATTGATTAATTATAAATTAATAATAACAATACATGGGCATATTATATTGTATTATATTGTGCATTTTATGTTGTGCATATTATTTCAATGGCTGTTTCAAATTACCAAATACCAAATATTTGTGGGGCACCACAAATATTACAAATCGTTATATTTATGGATATTTCAGCCGTCTCTGACCCGATTTTGATCAAACAAAGATGATTTTGTCATTTATATTTATGTTCTTTCAAATTTGACACCCAGTTTTTCATCATCTCATAACAAAATTATTTGTGTAGCGCCCTCTGCACCAAAACTCAACTATCCCTTTTAATGATTGATTTATGACAGATTGGACTCTTTGCCAACATTGATTTGCACAACGTCCCTGGTCTGATGAATCTCCTCCATGACGGAGAGACCCTGGAGGATCTCCAGAAACTCACCCCAGAGGAGCTTCTGATCCGATGGGTCAACTACCATCTAGAACAAGGAGGTAAGAAATCGTTTTTTCTTAAGAATGAAGACAGAGGTTGATGGACAGTCGGGAAGGGGTGGGGAGGTGGGAGGGACTAAAGGTGGACTCCCGCCCGAGGAGCTTCTTATCTGGTGGGTCAATTACCATCTAGAACAAGGAGGTAAGAAATTGTAGTTCCTTTAGAATGAAGGCAGAGGTGGATGGGGGGGGGGGGGGGGTGCAGGGGGCTGAACTTGGAATCAAAGTCTGATCAAGCTTCTCCAGTAGTGAGGAATACCTAATAATCGTCAAACACTTACAAACTCATATTTGAAACATACTAGCTGCACACTAGGTGATTGATACATTTTAAGATATATACTAGGGGGTCATTTCTCATATGTGCCATGACATCGTAAAATGACAGGTTCAGAAGGTAATTGTTGTTGCGGAATCAACAACTAAAGATATATGGATGTACTGCACAATACTTTGCTAATCTGCCTACTTGTTTAGTGACAACACCAGTAGTGATTTCTGATATGTCTACAGTTGTAATTTGTGTTATTCTGTTTCTATACCAAAGCCTATACCATGTTGTACTCATGTACTTGTGTGAGGTACTTATTCCTGATTTTGTATAAATTGATAGTACATGTACTGTACATGTATGTTTAATAATTGATGTTATATATATCAATTGAAGAAATAGTCTGAAAATGATTTTTATACCATGTTCTTTTGTGGATGATCAATAAATTTGAATTGAAATTGATATACAATTAGCTGTCGTCGGCACAAAACCCTTCATTCAAACACTACCATCTCCTTGATTACATTTCCTTCAGGATCACCACGTCGCATCAAGAACTTCTCAGAGGACATCCACGACTCTGAAGTCTACAGCATTCTAATCAAGCAGATCGCACCTGCAGATAAGAAGGGAGAACTCGTTGAAGTCGTCCTCGGAAAAGTAAGACCCTCTTGACACTATTATCTAAGCTAACTTTTGAAGATTTAGCTGGAGTCTCAAAGATGTTAGAAGATGTCAATATTGCTTTTCACAGTTAACTAGCAATACCACAAGTTTTTTTGTCAGACGTGCATTCTGCACACTTTAAAGGTAAAGGCCAGTATTGGAAACGCCCCAATTTCAAAAAATGAAATGGAAGCTCCTATTACCAATCATGTGAAAGAATATGTTTTAACTAATACATGATGATAAAAAATTTGCCGGGAAACCGCCTACTAATTGATATATTTGGTAAATTAGTTTATCTATTGTTACGTGAGAGATAAACACACGTGTGCGTAGTCCCATATACATATTTCTGTGTACAGTGCTTGTAACTTTACAAAGACTGGGCCAAATTTCTTATCATTTTGATGATCCCAGAACCTTGCAGTACACACCAATACTTATATGCTAGATGATCAACCTTTTTTGATCGATTCCACAATGTTTCTTTCACAATGCAATCTCATGACCAGAACTGGTCTTTATTGTTAACTTTTTTTTTATCTGCTCTATATATTCTCATTTGAGTTCATTCTCTCTTTCTGTTTGCTTCCTTTTATACCTCATCATTTGGTGTACAAACAACCAACAACAAAAATCTTCTAAACTTGCCACTCTCTATCTCAATTGGTATACCCGGTAGAAAGAAATTCTTTGAATGTTTTAGCGCCTAATGGTTGCTCAGCTAAAAGGGGGAAGTAATATGATGCTCTGTATTAATTGCAGTAGAGTAAATCATTCTTTGTCTTTTTCTTCTCCTTCTTCTTCTTCCTTTAATTCTTGTTCTTTTCCTTTTTTCTTCTTCTTCTTCTCCTCTTTTTGCTTCTTCATCTTCTTCTCTCTCTTCTTTTTTTTTTCTTCTTCTTCTTCTTCTTCTTCTTCTTCTTCTTCTTCTTCTTCTTCTTCTTCTTCTTCTTCTTCTTCATCATCTTCTCCTTCTACTTCTTTTTTTTTCTTCTTCTTCTTGGTCTTCTTTTTCTTATTCTTATTTTACTTCTTCTGCATTATCTTCTCCTTCTACTTTTTCCCCCTACTTTCTTCTTCTTCTTCTTCTTCTTCTTCTTCTTCTTCTTTTTCTTCTTCTTCTTCTTCATGCTCTCCTTCTTTTATCCATTCTCCTTCTTCTTCATGTTCTTCTTCCTCTCCTTCTTTTTTTCCTCCTTCTTCATGTTCTTCTTGTTCTTGTTCACCTATCTCCCCTTCTTCATTTTCCTCTCCTTCTGCTTCTTCTTCCAATTACTATACAACTCATCCACATCCTCCCGTATCTCGTTTTTTTACCAAAGGACCTTGAGAAGCGAGCCGGTACAGTCCTGCAGAATGCGGATACATTGGGCTGCAAGGCATTCGTCACTCCCAAGGCAAGTATCATCTAACTCTTTGTGTAGTGTTGGTTATTTTACCTGACTGCTAAGAAAGCATAAATGCTTGTTAGTAAACAACCAGAGGACCAACAGCTTTTGGTCCACTCTAGAAGCCCTAGTAATGAGGATTAATGACTTTCCAAAGTGCACTAGCGCATCGCCTTGGTTTCAAACCCGGGTCGCGGGATTACAAGACCCCTGCTCTACCAGCTGAGCTATCATGCCTCTTGCGACAATCATTCCTCATTTCGTGGTATTGCTCTTCGGATTCATAGCCCCACCCCAATATTCCAGATTGAAAGTTAAAAAGGGCAAAATTCCTGCACATGATGCCAGGAATTTGAAAAGGAAAATAATCCCTAAATCCTTAAATTTGCATCACGTTGAGAGATTCAAAATCATTGTTTTTTAATCAAAATTGGTTTGTTCCCCCTTCCATCGCAGGAAATCGTGAAAGGTAATTCCAAGCTGAACATGAATTTGCATCACGTTAAGAGATTCAAAATCATTGTTTTTTAATCAAAATTGGTTTGTTCCCCCTTCCATCGCAGGAAATCGTGAAAGGTAATTCCAAGCTGAACATGGCGTTCGTAGCAAACCTGTTCAACCATCATCCAGCCCTAGACCCCCCAGAAGACATGGAGTTTGAGGACGTCGAAGAAACCAGGGAGGAGAAGAGTAAGTCACATAATGGAAGAGTTCACTCAACCCAAACATGCCCCTTGTCACCATCTACTGTATAAGCTGTTATTTTCGTAAGGGTTTTATTTTTGCGAATAACATATTATCGCAAATTTATCAACACGCAAAAATATATTGGCACCTCATCATACTGGTGCGCAAAAAATATCAGCATAAAATGATGTGCTTGCATTTGCTTGATTGCTAGCTACTGTACTATATTAGTACTAGTATTATGCCTTATGCTCATAATGTAATGCTGTCACTCCCGCCCCGCGTGTTCCTTTTCTCCTCGAGCGTATATTGCACAGATTGCATGACACAGGCCCGGAATCGGTACTGTACTCAGCTGTGTGTGGTGCGATGAGCTGCCTAAACTTGTTTGTGTACTAAAACGTGAACGAGTCTGTGTGTGTATCTGTTTGCGTAAAAAAGTTTGTGAATACTTCGTGCCCATTCATTAATTCTGCTGTGTGCTATTCGCGAAAGCAATGACTCGCAAAAATGTCTCTTAGCCTGTGATTCGCGAAAATATCAGCTTATACAGTATTACCCTCTTTCCCCTTTTAATCTTTCTTAGTGCTCATGCTATGAGTAATTTTACTTGAATATCTAACATGTCAACGTCTATGTTTATTTATGACTTATATATTCACATTAGGTACTGTTTTTATTCTTGTTATATATATATTGCTTGTAAAAGTATCCCATGTAACATTTCATTTATTAACTTGGACCAACAAAATTGAATTGAATTGAATTGAATCAACTTTTTATAAAAATTGACTTTTCTTGCATGAGTTTACTAATTTGGGGGACTTCATGAAACCTGAATCCAGTATCGTATCAGCGCATGTGCTGACCGGCCTGCAGAGTTTGGGAAGGAAGGTCGCCATCTACTTTCAAACATCTTATTTGCGGAAGGGTCGATTGTAATTTATTAGTTAAGGATTATTTTATTTTTTTCTCCTTATCTTTAGCTTACCGTAACTGGATGAACAGCCTTAGCGTATCACCTTATGTGCACCATCTTTACTCTGATCTGTCCAACGGTCTCGTACTGTTACAGGTGAGTCACTTAACATAAATATGTATTATATAAAAAATGGTAATGATAGGAATAATAGTAATGTAAATAATAATCAAAAGAATAATAAGGAAAAGGATATTGATAACATTATTATAACAATGATTGTAATAATATACAGTAGGCTTACGGTTGCACCATGTGAGAGAGGGGAAGGATTGGGGAGACCCGAAAAGGACTCTCAGTAATCTTTCTTTCTTGAGTGAGTGTAGTCCTGAAAAGGACTGTTGGTAGTCTTTAAAAAGACTGTTGGTTATCTTTCTTAGCTTATAGTTCTAAGGAGAACTATAGCGCCGATTGGAGAGGATGGGTAGTAGGAGTGGCTCCACTTTTCGAACACGTTGTAATAATGATTATAATGATTTTGATTATGATTGCTTGTAGCTTATTAACAACGTGAATCCTGGAATTGTCAACTGGGATAAGGTCAACCAGGGTGCCACGCTGAAGAAGATGGGCGGCAACATGAAGAAGATCGAGAACTGCAACTACGCCGTCGATCTCGGACGAGAGATGAAATTCTCCCTTGTTGGAATCGGAGGTCAGGACATCCGAGACGGGAACCAGACCCTCACGCTAGGTAACTTGAAATGGAAATTAAGATCAGGGGGGTCTTTCACAAAGACTAAGATCATTAACAGGTTACAATAACTGTTATAAGCTACTGAAATCGTGGCATTTGATTGGTTGAGAGCAAATTTTATATAGAAATATAGTATAGTATTAATGACTGCTTTGAGAGAAATAGTTGTTTTTATACGCTCAAGGGAAGGTTAGAATTGTGCTATTACCCGAGGCGTGCCGAGGGCAATAGCCCAATTGTAACCTTCCCGAGAGCGTATAAAAAGAACTATTTCTCGAATATTAAAGCAGTCATTAATACTTTTATATGCCAAAAAAAAAAAATTAAAAAAATTAAAAATAATTTTTTTTTTTTTTTTTGTCGAAGATGGGATTCGATCTCTTGCGTAAAAAAGGTGATGTAACTAAAATCAGCGCCTTAAACCGCTCGGCCATCGCGCTCTGTCACCATATCTAGCAGTTTTCTCTAATATATACATTAAAATGGATTGAAAACGGCTTCGCGTGGTGGATGCTTCGCCGCTGCTCCATTAAACGGGCCCTTCTTTTACTTATACTTTTGCAATGCATATTGGCACAAACTTAGATCAAGATCTATCGGCAGATGTTGTTTTTTTGTTTTTGGAAGTTTATTTTCGTCTTCATGTCAACAGTGCAAGATAAAATTGTCGGTAAAATTGATCGAGATTCAATTGTATTGAAATTACCGACCAATTCTTCGCACACGTACGGTATCCTTGATCGCTCAGACCATTTTTTAACATGTAAACCTATGGGGTAACCATGGAGACTGAACTATTTTCCCGGTAACCATGGTTACTGGGATTTTAGAACTGTTTTAACCATGGTTACTGGGAATTTTACAGAAATAGTTAGAGTTTATGAATGCAATTTCGACCAATCAGATGGCTGGATTTCTGAATTGAGGTATATAATATTTGTTATAGGGCACTGAGGAGTGCTTCATGAAGACTTAGATCGGCTTTAAGTTGGACTTAACTATGGCAGGCCGTTCATGCCATTGTTTGCTTTCACCATTTACTGACAATGGTCTCTCACGGGATGTATAAATCATGGTCGCAAGTCTACAGAATTGACATTTTTTGATAGTTCATTATTGAAGGAAAAAATATTGTCAAAAGATCATAATTAAGAGAACAATAGTGAAATCAACCAGTGGCATGAATGGCCTGCCATAGCTAATGATCCTAGTTGAAATGCACCAAATAACTAATGATCCTAGTTGAAATCTACCAAACAGCTAATGCTCGTATTCATTTTCAGCCATTTAACCAAATCTTGACATTACTCCTATATGATAACCATGTCTTTGTAGGATGCGACTTGCTTGATAGCCATTCCTCCATGGGAGTCGCCATCTTGATTGATATACTAGAGAAGCCAATGATATTTTCGCTAATAAAGGGCTCAAAGACAATTTTTCGCAAGTCTTTTAATTTGTATAAATCCACAACCACCACCAATTATATACTGTATATTATAACATATATTTTCAATAATCATCATTCTATTTCCATGGATCATGAACTCATTACCGAGTATCACAATCATAGTATTATAAGAACAATATCAAGAGAAGCGATTGAAAATAATCTATTAAAGGCCCACTGCACTACTTGTAGCTACTTGCGCCCTCTATATAACAAACAATGCCTAATCGGTGACCATTGGTCCCCCATGATCCTCTTTTTCTTATGTTAACTGAGAGCTGAGTTGATGAGATAACCACCTGTCCATTGACCTTGCAGGGCGGTCTAATCTCTCCTATAAACTACGGCAGATAACCTTTAAGGTGTTCTATAACATTCGGTGTTGCCTCAAACTGCGCTGCATGACCCGATGACAGCTTGTGCTGTAGTGTATGGACGCTATGTGTGGGACAGGCAACAGGGCTAACTTTAGTGATTTCGAAATGCATCATTTCTTGGCTGTTTTTAAAATTTGTGATCAATGAGTGAAAAGCGAAAATAAAATTCCTGCAACAAAAAATTAAAATACCAGTGATTATCACTGCTTAGGCATTAGGCCCTAGAAAAAAAACTATTTTTTTTTCTATTCTTTTTTTTTCTCCCTCTTTGGGCGATATTTCTCAGTTTTGAATGCTTTAATTTTTTTTTCCTCTAAAAAAACGTAAACAAAATTAAATAAAAACTTGCTGACCGTACATTTCAAGATTTTATGGCGATCGCAAAGGGCAATAAAACATCTTCTTTGTTGAGGCCTGAGTGATGACTTGCATAGGATGCATGTTGTGTTGTATAGTAGCATTGTTTGATTTTTTTTTTTCTTTTTCTCATGTGCAGCTATTGTCTGGCAGCTGCTCAGAGCTTACACCTTGGGCATCCTACAGAAGATCAATGACTCAGACAAACCTCTGACGGACCCTCAAATTGTGGAATGGGCCAATAACAAGGTACTACTACTACTACTACTACTCCTAAAGAACTTAATTTAATTTAATTAAGTTACATTAATCTTGATCTAAGGAGACATGAACGAACAAACAAACTACTACTACTACTACTACTATTTCTACTACTACTTCTGCTACTTCTACTGCTGCTGCTACTACTACTACTACTACTAATACTACTACTACTACTACAACCATTTATACTACTAATACTACTACTACTACTACTTCTACTACTACGAACATTTATACTACTAATACTACTACTACTTCTACTACGACCATTATTATACTACTAATACTACTACTACTTCTAATACAACCATTACTATACAACTAATGCTACTACTACTACTACAACCATTTACTATACTACTACTACTACTTCTACTACTACTACTACTACTACTACTACTACTACTACTACTATTACTACTACTGCTACTACTTCTGCTACTGGTACTGCTGCTACTACTACTACTACTACTACTATTACTACTACTACTACAACTACTACTACTGTAACTGCTTCTACTACTACTACTACAACTGATCCTGCTATTACTACTACTAATTCGACAACGACCATTACTATACTACTAACACTATTAATACTTCTTCTACTACAATGTGCCTTTACACATATCTTTAATATCCATGCTATGGGCTTTTTTTCTTTTCTTTTTCTTCAGCTTGAAGAGGCGGGCAAGAAGTCCAAGATCTCACATTTCAAAGATCCGTCCATCTCTGACTCCAAGGTGATCCTTGACCTCATGGAAGCCATCAAGCCTAACTGTGTGAACTTTGACCTCTACATTGACCCCAGAGAGGACCCCAGCACTTCAGAGGTAAGAATTAAGGAGAGGTGCCAAGCAGGCTGCAGTAATGCATGTGCTAGGGAGTGTTTCACAAAGACTAAGACCTTAACTTTAAGTTGGACTTATTAACTATGGCAGGCCGTTCATGCCACCGTTTGCTCTCATCATTATGATCTTCAGATAATATTTTTTCCTTCAAAAAATAATGAATTATCCAAAAATGTGAGTTCTTTATACTTGTGACCATCATTTGTACTTCCATTGAGAGAGTAAACAATGGCATGAACGGCCTGCCATAGTATAGTATTAATGACTGCTTTGAGAGAAATAGTTGTTTTATTACGCTCAAGGGAAGGTTAGAATGTGCTATTCCCCGAGGCTTGCCGAGGGGAATAGCCCAATTGTAACCTTTCCGAGAGCGTATGAAAACAACTATTTCTCGAATATTAAAGCAGTCATTAATACTTTTATATGCCAAAAAAAAATAGACTAAAAAATAAAAAATAAAAAAAAATTTACATTTCTGTCGAAGACGGGATTCGAACTCTTGCGTACAACAAGAGGTGTATCGAAAACCAACGCTTAGACCACTCGGCTATCGCGCGCCTTTAACATGCTTGGCAGTTTTCTCCAATATATACATTAAAATGGATTGAAAACGGCTCCGCGTGAGGGATGCTTCGCAAAAGCTCCATGAAACGGACCCTTCTTTTACTTTTGCAATGCATATTGGCACGAACTTAGATCAAGATCTATCGGCAGATGTTGTTTTTTTGTTTTTGAGAGTTTATTTTCGTCTTCATGTCAACAATGCAAGATAAAATTGTCGGTAAGATCGATCGAGATTCAATTGTATTGGAATTGCCGACCAATTTTTCGCACACGTATGGTATCCTCCATCGCTCAAACCATTTTTTAACATGTAAACCTATGGGGTAACCATGGAGACTGACCTATTTTTTTAATAACCATGGTTATTAAAAATATTGAAATGTTTTAAGCATGGTTACCGGGAATTTTACAGGAACAGTTGAAGTTTATGAATGCAATTCGACCAATCAGATGGCTGGATTTCTTAAGTGAGGTATATAATTAAGTCTAACTGAGATTCGATGATAGTCTTTGTGAAACACTCACCTGTCCTGATACATTTATTGACAAAGCTCACACCCGGTAGGATGCGAAAGCTACTGTGCTTAGATTAGCTAGTGTGCGCTTGTAAAAATGACGCCTGGCTGGAATGCTCCCCAGGGAGTGGAGAATGTGCATATATTGTGTGCGGGTAAGCCTGAATCCGATGACCGGGGTAGTAATATATATATCTGTAAAGCACTTTGATAGGGCTTTCCTGAAGAGCGCCATATAAGAAATAGTTATTAATGTGTGTGCCAACTGTATTAAAGGCCATGTAACAGCACTGAAGGATTAAAGGAAGTGGGTCGCCAGTTTCCATGTGCAAAAGGTCATAATATTCTGACACCAGCCTTTGTGAAAATACCATTAATGGGTGTACAAGTCTGTGGACTGCAAATCCTTTGGCCAATCAAGAAATACCACATCAACCCTTGGAGAGACCTTGCGTGATTCAAATTTCAGATGATTACTTTAACATATGGGGGAAAAACAGATGATTATATAAAGCCTGTTGGTGATAAAACTCAAGGCTAATCCTGTCTATGTGTCTTTAAATCATGTCATCAATGTTAAAGATAATACAAAGTTTTGGTATGGGGTCATGAATTTGGTTCAAATAAACATATTGGAAGCATAGGCGATCCTACAATATTCAGTGATCGTTGTCGCGGTTGGAATCGAGTCTAAAGTTATGAAATTGTAAATAATAAACTCTTTATGTTGTGTAGCTCCCTCTCAAGGACAAGATATTAATTAAGCTATAAAACAATATTTGTTGACTAAAATCGATCGTTTATCTATTCCTGTTTGAAAATCATATATCATAACTACATATTCTGAGATTTTCATGGTCGCAGCTACCATTGTACGGCCGTATGTGCTATTTGAAATTTATCCAAATTTACCAGGAGCACCGGTAAATTTTTATATTCACTTTTTCTCAAAAGCAGAAGTGTTTAAGGGGTTGAATTATCTAGTGCTTATAATACATGCACAGGGGCATCCAAATATGTCAAAATAGTAAAGAATCACTAACCACCCAATTTTCAAAATTTCCCAAAATTTTGTATTACCTTTAACGATGGACTGCTAATGAATAAACAGTTTCACATAGTTCATGTCCTTTTACTCGGTCCCATCCGCTTGTTTTGACATAGTTTATGTTGTTTTGCCTTAATATCCCCATTTAATCAGTTTCATGTATTTTCTGTTGTTTTACCTACTCCCATCTACTCATTTTCATGTTTGTTTTTGTCAACACAGGAAACGAAGCTGAAGAATGCTCAGTACGCCATTACCATCGCTCGCAAGAGTGGCGCCATGGTCTACGCCCTCCCAGAGGACATCGTCGAGGTCAACCCCAAGATGGTCATGACCATCTTCGCCTGCATCATGGCGCTTGACCAGGTCTTATTAGCTCAGAACTCTTGAAAGGTCACGACCCTGATCCTAACCCCGACCGAAATCCTAATCCTGATCCTTGCACATATCTCGCGCCAATATAAAATGTCATTTTTCATTGTATAGTAGTAAGCTGATGATGTGAATGGCACTATGATTTTTTGTAAATTTCATTTTTTGTGAGTATATTTGTGGATAATTTTTGTTCATAAAGAAGTATTTAGGTCTGTACTTTGTGTAAACATTGCTTTTGGTAATTTTTGATGTTGTTAGCAATGTAAAATATACCGTGTTGTCTTAATTTTTGATTATTTGTAGGCGAAAAGATAAAGATATCCTGTTTTTCGACCCATGTCATATATTGTTTCCAATTTTTTGAAGATATATTTTGTTTAATGAATACTGCAACTACATATACATGTATAAGTATAGTCTTTGGAGATTTATGTCGATTTACAGATGGATAATCTCTTTCGATATCATACCGTGGTTGTATTTTTTTCTTGTTTTATTTTTATTGATCATGAAAAAAAGAATGAGTACCTAACGAAAGAAATGTCCATTGTGGCTCACCGTCCAGTATACTGAAGGTTCTAACTTGTGCCTTAACGCAAGAGAGGTAGATATAGTCCATTGGATACGTCACTGGACTGTGGATCACAAGGTACAGGGTTCAAGTCCTGCCACGGCACTAATGTCCTTTGGCCAGGCATTGATCTGCATTTACCACTCTCCACCCAGGTGTTAAATGGGTACCCGGTAGGATGCGAACATTAATGTCGTTTGATTGGCATGTGTGCGCTTGTAAAACGGCACCTGTTGGGAATACACCCCAGGGAGCAGAGCAATTATAATATATAATAATTACAATGTAAATCGCTTTATATTGAGAGCTATACGAATGTGACTACGGTATTATTATTCACTATTTAAGATCTTTGTGCTGACGTTCATATGAGGCTATGTTTAAAGAGACTGACAGCGAGACCAATGAATTATCGACTTTAAATATATATCGATTCGTAGTGAAGTATGAGTTATGATAAATGCCCTTTTTAACACTTTACCAGCTTTGATCCAATCATGGAAAGAACAGTTGTCTGCCACATTAGATGTTTGCCATACACACGCAGTGTAATTGATATCATATCCTCTAAACATTGTGGCAGTCACTTGGCTTCTTCCAATAGCGAAAAAATAGTTAAGAGGAAAAATAGAACATAGAACCTATGCAGAATTCAATGATATTTGTATATTCCTTGCTTTTGAGAGTAGAAAATGAGTGGTTTATATAAAATGCAAGTATGTTAGCATTGTAATTGTAGATTTACTTGATTTACATTTTTTTTTATTAGATCAATCATTGGTGCCGGTTAATGCTATTATAGCACTACACAATTTCAGCTCTCGTTTATATTTTGAACTAAACATAGGAATACATAAATTCATCAGTATATTTTACAAATTAAATGGTACATGTTTATATACTAAAGTAAGAAGTGTTCATTAACCTTTGTAGGAAAAAACTAGATTCACAAAATATGTTTAATGTAATATGCTTCAATTTTCACCTGTCTGTAAGAGTTTATACATGTAATAACCTAGCAACAAATAGCATAGGAACAAAAACAAAGTGAAAACAAAAGCCTCAACAAATCATAAGGTATGAACAAACAGGACTTAGAATTGAACAATATTTATCAAAACCCATAAACTAGTCGGTTTTAATCGAAAGACTTGTGAATCAAGATTTATTTCCATTCAATTTTTAAAAAAATCTTTGAATGTGTCGTTTATTCACCAAAATACTATGTACCGGTACCTTTTTTTTTTAAAGCCAGTATTAATACATAACATGCAAATGAAACGATCATCCAAAGATATATAAGTGTATACATGTATATCATCAGGATTTTTTTATAGAAACAAATCAAACAAGCAAGGCATCCCGTGCCATGTCCGTTCTTCCATAAATCGCAAGTACCCGTATGAAGATATATGAGTGGATTTCCATGATGTATTGAGTAAAGAGATGTGCATATATTTACATGTATAGCTAAACCCAAATCTTTCATATGAAGGTGTTGCATAAAACTTACCATTGATGGTAACATTGCCATCAATTGAAGTAACCATGGTAACGGCTCAACAGCCAATCAAAATCAAGGTTTCCATGGTAGTTACCATCAATGGTAAGTTTTGTGCAACGGGCCCAGGTGTTGTAATCAAACATTCCTTTATATTAGAAGCCTTTTCTGTGATCCATCATGAAATGACTTATGATGTCTTATCTTAATGCTCAAAAAGTGTTATTAAATATTATCTCACACTGTACACACAACTATCCAATTCTCCATGTGCATATGATGTGTATATGTTCGGCTCAACCCAAATCTTTCATATGAAGGTGTTCTTGTGTAAGTTGTAATCAAACATTCCTTTATATCAAAAACCGTTTCTGTGTTTCATCCCAAAAGTGACTTATGATGTCTTATCTAAATGCTAAAAAAGTGTTTTTAAATATTATCTCACGCTGTACACACAACTATCCAATTCTCCATCGTTTAAATACTTATTAACAAAATAGTATACTTTTCGCTTCTTTCTTCTTTTAGTTGTAAATCTGTATTATCATTTCAAATGATTGTGTTGTATATTTCTTTCTATTTTTTGTTCTTTCGTGCCTGCAGGGTTGTAGCGATAAGGTAACATGTACAAATCTGTTTTTTAAGAATCTTAGATACCGTGTTTGATTGCATTTGCTCACATATATGACCACAATTTATATATATGAATATGTATTATACATTTGATGTGTCTCTTTAACAATTCGCATGTACAAGTTGTTTTTTCTTAGATGAAGAAAGGGTGACGTATAGTGCCATGTTATACATTTATTACCTCTTACCAGGTGTTGCTTAACAGAATAATATGAATATTCAGTGCATGATAATTTTATAAGATACAGTTGCACATGGTAATTTGTGACAAATTGGTGTAGTACTACACCTCAGTTTTCACTGAATGAACATTGTGCCGAGCCTATTTCATTGAACGAAAAATGTTCCATTTATGATCATGATTTAACTCTAGCATTTAATGTTATTTGTGAGGTTTAAATTTCCTCTGATAATGCATCATCATTCCAGTTTTCTATTCCAAAATACTTTCATACCAGATTTTTTTAAAAATGTTACCTTGATTTTCCAATCTTAATTCTTACCTATGCCATGTTTCCCATAGTTTGGCATCATTATGATAATTTCCTTCACCTTTTTTTTTTCTTCTTTTTTTTCCCTTTTTTTCTTTTGAATCAAGATATGATTATGCTATTACGACCAAAGGGATATGATAAGAAAGAGAGAGACAAAAAAGATAAAAGTCTTTACTAACAAGGGAATCTTATATAAATCATAGAGCCATTCCAAAGAATGTTATCATTTGTCACGTCCAGAGGCTCAAAGTGATATTATGAGACAATGTAGTCTTTGCTAACTAGAAATTTTACGTACAAGTTCACATAAAGCCATTCCAAAAAAGTAATGTGTCAATATCGAAAGATATTTGTGGTTCTGTAACGTATGAGTTCAGTGGGCATTTCAGCTAAGACAACATTTATCATGTGTAGTTGATCTGATTTGTACATGAGTTTGGATGATTTCTTGATTCAATTTTTTTTTAAATATTACACAGATTTGCGTCCAGATATTGCCTCTCGAACCAGAGCTTTCAAACCAAGAATAAACGTTCATAATACTGTCTTTCTACTTTCATAGGCCTATATTAACCTGTTGACAACTGAATCGTTGAATTCCTATAGGCTTTATATAGGAGCCACCCGGATCCAGGAGTCAATAAGTTAATAATTGTTTGTCTTGTTTCTTCACGTTAGCACCGCACCTTAGTCGTGATTCAGTAATGCAGCATCTGTTTTTTATCTACATGAATAGTGTTCCCATTTTTCCTGCACTTAAGCACTGCATTTAAACAGGTATTAGTAATATACACTCACTGTTATCTTTTCAAATAATACTGTTTATACAGAGTCCATTCCTGTGCCTATTTTAACGATTATGTGGTGTATATAACCAGTGTTTGTCCTGTGCTATCATGGATTTCATATTACCGGTATGTAGCTTCACTCTTGGAAAATTCCATATCATAGAAAGAAGTTGGTTTTGAATATTCATTTATTTATCTCTTTTTCACCATGTATTTTTTTTGAGGATGGAATACAAAAAATAGTTTGCATACCTCTATTTTTAGTACCAACAAAAATTGAATTAAATTAGTTGTGGAAATGAATGAACATCTCATATTTGTCGCTGTGTTTGAAGTGGGATTGGTTAAAAAAGAGCATTATGTTTCACGCATATTTGCATGCATTATACGAAGAGCACGTTGTTGGTTTTGTAGAAAGACACTATAGATTATCACCTAAGATCATGTATTTCATATGTAGTCATGAATATTCAATATAGTCATGAATATGCATCTCTGTGTTTGGTAGTGTTAATATTCATCAAAAGGTAACTTTTGCACGAAGAAATATGTAATTGAAAATCATGATTAACGTAAAATTATATTATATAGCTTTAAGTATGTGTGTTTTGTAGGTTGACAATTCACCAAAAATTGTGTTATCTTGGTATTAAAAGGCATTCCAAATGTTGCAAAATATATGGGAGTGGAAGGGAAAGAATGATTTAATACAATGTTAGGTAAATGGCTTATTTTTGGTAATACTTAGTTTCACAAATAAATATTGGTTTCAAAGGAACGACTCTTGTCTGCCTCTTGTTTACCGTCTTAGTCTCAATGGAAAAGAAAGATGATCGAGAGGAAGAGAAAAAACGGGAGCAACGAGAAAATGTTAAAGGTAAAGACCAGTTATGGTCATGCGATTGCATTGTGAAAGAAACGTTGTGGAATCAATCAGAAAAGGTTGATCATCTAGCATCTAGCATCTGCAAGGTTTTGGAATCATCAAAATGATAAGAAATTTGGCCCATTCTTCGTAAAGTTACAAGCACTATACACAGAAAGATGTATATGGGACTACCCTATATCTCTCACAGACCATGAGAGAAACAAATTTACCAAATATATGAATAAGTAGGCGGTTTCCCGGCAAATTTTTTATCATCATGTATTAGTCAAAACATATTCTTTCACATGATTGGTAATGTGAGCTTCCATTTCATTTTTTGAAATTGGGGCGTTTCCAATACTGGTCTTTACCTTTAAGGGAAGAGAAGGTTAGAAAAGTAGAGGATGGAGGGGAAAAGGGAGGAGGGCATATTGACCCCATGCAAAATATGTTCAAGCACATTTCGTTTTCATACGATCGAACAACAACAAATTGAGGTTTTAAAAAGCTCACCTCAAAACAATCTAGATTTAGTGAAAACAAAAGTCTTTGTGACTGTACCGGTGATTAACATTTCCATAAATCATTTAATACAGAAATTTAAAATGAACAAGATATTTAGACCAGTGTGGGGGGGGGGGGGGGGGGGGGGAGGGGTGGGGGTTTAACCCCCAAAACACCCCACCCCCTGCGTGTGTGCATGTGTGTGTGTTTAATGTATGGATGGGCGATTAGCCATAGACGGATGTTGGCGGGTTAATAAAGACAACTATGAAACTAAATCAAAAATCAAAAATGCGATATTGGAATCGGTGATATTATAGGCATAGTATTCTAATCAGCTTGCGCTTTAAAATGTCAAAAATCTATCGGTGTATCTTTTCTATTTTCATTAAAGGTACTATGTCCCTTTTGCAGCCAACCTCAAATGCTGTAGAACTTTGCAGGAATTATGAATATGTCATGTATGTCCTATCTGTGAAATTTAAACGTTAGCAGTGTCCTCATATTCAAATTATGCAAGGAAAACCGTTTACTTGCTAGACTTTACTGTCAGACACTATTGAGTGACTGACTGGCTTTTTTCTTCTTTGGTAATAACATACATGAAAAGAGCTGTAAAGGGTACATGAGTATTTGTCTACATCAATAACCCACTTCTTGTGATGGCCAAGATTAAACTGATTGAATCTTTGCGCAGCATAAAACGTATGACCATTCGGTACAATTGTCTGAAAATCAAGACTATTACTTTTGGGCTCTATAGCCCTAAAGTCGATTTGACAACTAATAGTCGTTATTTTCCCATTTGAAGACATTTTCAAGCCCCACCTTTTTTAGGGAAGTTCTAAATTAGTATTATCTTTCAAATGCAGTTGGAATTTAACTTTTTCATTTTTTTGGCCTGCAAATGGGACATAGGCCCTTTAAAACTTTAACCAAAGAAGCGTTGATACTCGTGTTTTCAAGATCGAATTAAGTTAGACCTAACGAGAAATTGAAGATCTAAATAGTCTTCTGCCATGGAAATTAAGAAGAAGAAAAAATCATTGCAAGTGATTTTTTTTTTGTTTTAAACCGTGCATGAGGAGCTTGTTTACATATTGTGAAAGGTAATTTTTGTTTTCCTCTGAAACTTTCTGCGTCACGTTTGCTGTCATTAAAGGTAATACAAAGTTTTGGGAAATTTTGAAAATTGGCTGGATGAAGAATATTTACAATTTTGACATATTTGGATGCCCCTGTGGATGTATTATAAGCACTACAGAAATTAGCCCATAAAACACTTCTGCTTCCGAGAAAAATTGAATATCAAAATTTACCGGTGCTCCCGGTAAATTTCGATAATTTTCAAATAGCGCCTACGACCATGAAAATCTCAAAATATGTAGTTGGGATGTATAATTTTCAAACGGGAATAGCCAATCGGTCAATTTTAGTCAAGAAATATTGTTTTATAGCTAAATTAATATCTTGACCTTGAGAGGGAGCTACACAACGAAAAGAGTTTATTATTTACAATTTCACCACTTTATACTCGATTTCAACCGCGACAACGATCACTCAATATTGTAGGATCGCATATGCTTCCAATATGTTCCTTTCAACCAAATAATGACCCCAAACCAAAACGTTGTAACACCTTTAAAGGAAAATGAACCCCCCCCCCCCAAAAAAAAAAAAAAAAAAAAAAAATCATTTAAGAGTCGAAGGAATCTCGTAAGCCGGTTGAAAGTATCTTGAATTTACTCCTATTCGATTTCTTGGCAAGGAAAAGAGTCTCTTAAAAGTTTGCTGTTTCCTTGTTAACCCTTCTTCCATGCTAGTCGCAAGTTTGTTCAAAATTGTGGTGACAGAGCAGTACACCTTTGAGGTACCCACTGACCAGGGCCCCCGTTTCATACAACTTACCATTGTAACTACGGGGGTAACTACCATGGTAACATGGCTCAACGGCCAATCAAAATCGAGGTCTCCTGGGTAGTTACCATTGGTGGCAAATTTGTTGTTGTTGTTGGGTATAAGGCTGTCCAATCTGAAAACCTTACCATCATGGTAAGTTTTGTGCAACGGGGCCCTGTATTGTATTTGCAATTAGGGCAGTCAACTGTGAAGCTCAGCCATAACAACGATTCCCTAATACTAGACTATTTTGTTAGCCATTCAAATCAATGGATATTTAATCCTGTTGCTGTGACCAGATGTTTGGTTCAGCTGTTTCAGACAGTTGAGCACTTTCTTTTGTTAAGCACCAATTGGCATGCATAAGTAATTGCAGACAGAACTCCGCTAATTATTCAAAAGAGGGACAAAAATCACCTGTTCGAGATGCCGGAGTAACAATAGTTGGGTGCTGTTTTGCTTCCATGGCTAGGCTTAGACAATCTTCAGTGAATATTCAACGCCATGTCCATCACAATTATGCAGGTCAATGTATATGAACTACTCCTACATTATTTAAAAGGTCGGGTGAAATCCAAATATAAATTGATTTATTTTGATGTGCAGGGCTGCATATAGGCCTACAAATTATATTTTGTTACTCTAACATCTAGATATATTTCATACACTTCTATATATTTTTTAAAATAATTTTCTCAGACCTGGTAAGCTCCACCCTTTAAAAAAGGCTCCAAATCTCATACATCTTGTGACATCATCTGCCAAACATATATTTGGATGTCACCCGACCTTTAATCAAACAGGGTGGCGTTTCACGAAACCGCCATAACTACAAGTTCATCTACTTCCCATTGAATTGCGGGTATTAAATTTAACCCGTGATTCAATGGGATGTCGGTGAACTTGTACTTATGACGGTTTCGTGCAACCAGGAAGCTACATGGTGACTCCCAAGGAGGAAACTTTGGAGAGAGTATTTTCTTCGCTATGCAATTGAATTGGAGTAATTTTAATACTTTTTAAACTGGCTGACGATACTGAATAAGATAAGGATTGTTGGATTTCTTTTCTTTTAAGAACTTGGATTAAGTGTTTCACGTTAATACAAAAGTTCTATTTCATCGGTTTTCCAACTTCCCCTACTAATTGAAAAATATGGTTCAACTTCCGTATGTTTCAGTATAGTGCCCAATATAATTATTATAATGCCAAGATTTAGAAAAGTAACACAAAACAAATCAATATAAAGCGTATGTTATTTGCTCTAGTTTCAATGATACGAAAGTATGCCGCTATAAGTTGCCTTTAAATACTTAAAAAGACAAAATAATTGTATGGACTTAAACAAAATGTCGGAGCTTAACAGTGTTTGGATGACATTAATGATGACTGGCATTAAGATTG